AGAAAGCTCTTGTATTAAGGGAGTGTGCTAGGGCTGAGCCACACCACAACTAGAAACGGGTTTTTCCAGCAATCTAGGATCAAATCTTGGAAAAAGAACCAGGTGTAGCTGATGGGGATGTACGCTTGGCCAGGGGTAGAGCTCGGTGCCAGAGAGCACACACCGCATTTATGCCGGAAGACACAGAGTCCCTATTTTGGCAGGAGCACAGACTAATAAAGAGGAGTAGTTTCCTTCTTATTTTTAAACAGGTAAACTCTGGGTTTTATTTTTATTTCATTAATTTTCAGAGACTTTTCTATTTTGGAAGATTGTGAGTGACATCAGGGCCTGTGGTCTTGGGGTCTGTGCTCTTTGCTGGAAGGGGTGTGTGGGCAGTTTGCACTAGGTTTCCAGGGCCATTCAAGGTTCTCATGAAACTGTCTGAAGAAGGCTGTGCTATTTAACCATCTCCTGAAGGCCAGAGTGCCAGTCTCAAGCTCTGCAGCTCAGCTCTCTGCAGGCTTGTGTGGGCAGCTTGCTGCTGTCTCAGGTCAGCTGATACACAGCATGTTGGTGGCTAGGTTCTGGCTCAACTCTGTGTTGGTCTGCACGGCACCAATTCCCCACTGACTAGCACTGTTGGCCAGAAAGATGAATGCTAAGTCATTCTGACCTTCAGAAAACCTGACATCTGATGGAGGAGAAAACAGAGTTCCTTTGATGTTAGCTCTGGAGATTCTGGGAGAAGGCTGACTTCCAGCCATTACCTGGAGCTCCCAAGCTGGAGAGTGACATTTCCCATGTCTGCCAAGCTTACCCCACACCCTGGGGCAGAAGGCTCCCAGAAGAAGATTCTAGCCATTGTCCCAAGATTGGTTCATGGTTGAGCCAGGATACAAACCCAACTGTGATTACAAGCCCTTGCTCCCAAAATGCTGTTTTTGGAGTCCACTGCTTTTGTCTACATCTACCCAGGAGTAGTCTTTGTAAACCATGGTTTGTGACTAACCTAGGCCACCGGGGTACAAGTGAGCCACTGTGTTCGGGATCTTGTCATTGGAATACTAGCAGTCAAGCAGGCCTTCAGAGTCAAAGCACTCAGTTGACTAGCTGGAGCTCCAGGCCAGTTTCTGTGGCCCACTGTTCCTTGGCAGGAAGCTCCTAGTGCAGTGGGAGTGTCCTGGCCAACCGGCAGAGCTGTCTTTTCAACTCTTTCGAAGAGTTGGAAGTCACAGTGGAAAGTGTAATGACTGGAACATTCTGTGACTGCACTCCTGCTTTCCACAGTCGATGCTTCTTTCTTGAAGTTCCTTTGTCCCTGGGTCCAACCTTCCATCTCCCAAGCCTTCGCTGGCACCAGGTGACACTGTATCCTGCTGTCTTGGTTTGTTTTCTATCGCTGCGATAAACACCATGACCAGAAGAGGAAGGGATTTGTTTCATCTTGCAGGTTATTCCCCATCTTTGAGGGAGCTCTGATGGGGCAAGAATTTGAAGCAGACACTTTGGAGGAAGGCTGCTTACTGGCTTGCTCGCTGACTCTTTCCCACACAGTGCAGGCTCACCTGTTTAGGGAGGGCAACACTCTCAGTGGGCTAGGCCTTCCTACATCACTTAGCAATCAAGACAGTCCCTCATAGACATGGCCACTGGGCAATCCAATTGAAGCAATTGTCCATTTGAGGTTGGCTCTTCCCAAGTGACTCTAGGTTTGTGTCAGGTTGACAGTAGAAAATATGGTGTGCTTCTATGTTGACTCAAATGTCAGGTTAGTAGGTGTAGTCTTTGTTCTATGAGCAGTTTTTGATGTAACAGAGATGCTTCAGAAATGATTGCTCATGCTATAAGAGTCTCTGTGTGTGGTGTGTGTATATGTGGTGTATGGTGTGTATGTGTGCATTTGTGGTGTGTGTATGGTATGTGTATATGTGGTGTATATATGTGTGTGGTTGTGTGTGTATTGTGCGGTATGTGTGTGGTATGTATATGTGTGTGTATGTGTGTGGTGTGTGTGTGGTGTGTGTGTGGTGTGTGTGTGGTGTGTGTGTGGTGTGTGTGTGCAGTGTGTGTGTGGTGTGTGTATGTGTGTGGTGTGTATATGTGTATGGTGTGTATGTGTGTGGTGTATATATGCATGTGGTGTGTGTGTAGTGTGTGTGATGTATGTGTGTATATGTGTGGGGGTATATGTATATATAAGTGTGTGTGATGAGTGTATGTATGGTATGTGGTGTGGGTGGAGTAGGCGTGTATGTGTGTGTGATGCATGTGTGTGGTCTGTGTGTCTTGGTTCTTTTGTGATAGGGTTTTGCTCTGGTGTGTGTGTGTGTGTGTGGTATGTGGTGTGTATGTATGTGGGGGTGTGTATGTATGTGTGTAGTTATGTTTGTATATGGTATGTGGTCCCTGTGTGTGTGTGTGTGTGTGGTGTTAGTTTATTTTCCTATAGCTTTTAGCTCTCTGGTTCAGAATGACCAGTTATATAACAGGAAGTCACTGTGTAGCCAGGGTGACGTTAAACTCATTATCTTCTTGCCTCATCCACCAAAGAACAGGAATACAGGCCTGAGTCACCAGAGCCAGCTTAAGGAGTTAATTGAGGAAGAAAAAGAATGGGAAATAAAAGAAAAAAGAAAAAAGAAAAAAAAGACAACCTTGGAATTCAGCTTGTCTCTGGGCTTAGTACTTCCTTTTGTAGAAAGTGGCCCTGGGTGGCGTTTAACTCCCCTCGCCTCACTTTCCCTGTGGTGAACGGGTGTGATAACACCTCCCACGGTTTTGGTTTTAGGACTACTTATTGGCCTAACAGAGGCAAAGTGACTAACAACAGTCTGGTATTTGGAAGACATTTGATTAAAGAAAGATGACAGATATATCAGAGAGTGCGTCAGTTCCTGTCTGTGGGATGTTTATTTATTGTAACAGAAGTTTCTCTGGTTGTCTAATTTGTGTATGTGTGTGCCCGCTCATCTTAAGATGTCTTTTTGCCATTAGATTGGAAAACAAGGCTTGTGAGTCATGACCCACTTTACATCTGGAAGAGGGCCGTGGCTGGTTTAGATGGATGCAGGAGCAGACACTCTGTAGTAAACAAATCAATATTCTCATGACACAAGCGCGGTGTGTGCTGTCCGGAGATGCAATCCATCAGTCTGCTGAGCTTGCTCTTGGGGTTGCAGTCACCCAGTGTGACTCACTGCTTACGGCCACAAGCAAGCCTTTGAACAGTGTGGTTGTGAGAAGTTCTGAGGGCATAGTTTCACACCTGGTTTAATTGTTCCTTTTCCCATTGAGAGGAATGAGGCTATGTCATTATATTGGACTCTGGCCAGAGCTGTCCAAGCTTTCTGAGTTAGACTGGTTGGTTGAAGACATTCCAGGACCCTCCAGAGACCAAATTAGACAGATTTAATTATAGACAGTAAAGCAATGATCTTGTTGCTGAGGATTTGGTTTTTTTTATGCCTGTGACTGTAAAAGGCAAACCACACAGTCGGACAAATGAGACAACAGCCCCTGCTTATTTAGCTCCTATACCAAGATTTGTGCCAGGCGTTGAGATATTCCTTATTTCTCTCAAGAAATCCTAGTAAGGCAGACGTTCTGATTTTATCATCTTGGGAACTAGGGGCCAAACGCATCAAGGATGTGTCCCTGTGGCCTTGGTTGAGGATCCAAGATTGCCTGACTGTCTGACTCAATAGACTGCAGGATCATGCTCCCTTTTCACATTGCCACCATGGACAGGGCATGCCACTTCCATGCCTGCCAAGCATAGAATAGACCTTCACCACTAAGCCAAGTTTCAGCAGGTCAGCAATGCTGTCTAGGTTCTGGGTGGGGTGACACTGTAGCCCTGGCAGGACTTGGTAATATTTCTGTCTTTTCCTGGTTACCTACCCTCTCTTGTCTTGGGAAGGCCTCCATGGATGGTAATGAGTTTGTTTCTGATGACTCCACCATCCTGTGCCTCAAACAGAACTCCAAAGCATCTCTTATCCACAGGTAGATGTAGGTGAGCCATGTTCTGAGCCAGAGTCCTCATCAGAGCCCTGGCAGATGCATCAAGCTAAGGGCCTCTGTTTACAGCAGTGATTCTCAACCTTCCTAGTGCTTTAATATAGTTCCTCATGTTGTGGTGATCCCAACCATAAAATTATTTTCATTGCTACTTCATAACTTGTACTATTATGAATCATCATGTAAATATCTGATACTCAGGGTATCAGATTTGTGACCCCCGTGAAAGGGTTGTTTGACTCCCCAAAGGGGTCATGACCCTCAGGTTGATAAGCATTGTCTTAGAGCCCAGGGCAATACTTTGCACCTGATGTCAAGTCTCTGGAAAGCAGCTTCAAGTTGGCCTTGGCCTCCATCTCTTCTTCTTCCCTCCCTTTATCTTACCATTTCCCCTCCTTCCTTCCCTTTCCTTCCCTTCCCTTGCCCTGTCCTATCTGGCAAAGGCTGTTTCTATCCCTCTGACCCCTTACAGTCTTTCTGCCTCTTCTTCTCCAATGGTCCCCGAGCCTCGTGAGTAGGAGTATGATATTGCTGTCCCATTTAGAGCTGAACACTTTAAAAATCTCTTCCTCTGTGCACATTGACTAGTTGTAGCACTTGTGTCAATCACTCTACTGAAGAAACCTTTCTGATGAGGGTGGAGAGATGTACTCCTCTATGGGTATGATAACAAGAACTTAGGGAGCAGTTTAATACGATTTCTAGTTAACAGAAGACTAGGGCCTATGTCTTAGGGCCTATGACCTAGACAGCCATGTGCCATATGAAGTTGACAGTACCGAGTATGAATTACGTCTTAATGACCACACTGTAAATCCAGTCAGAAAGTGGTTGGTTGTTCCTGTAACATTCATACCACTGTTGCCCCAACAGGCGTATCTCGCTGGGCCAGTAGTTAAGGTAGCTCTCAGGGTTAATGGCTAGCTGTTTTCTTAACACATCACTTTGTCTTTGGTATTTGGGATGCACAGGTGTTTGTTCACTTTTCTTTCTTCCAGTGCCTGAAACAGTATGTTGAGCTCTTAATCAAAGAAGGCCTAGAAACTGCGATTAGCTGCCCGGATGCTGCATGCCCCAAACAGGGCCACCTTCAGGAGAATGAGGCACGTTGGGTGGGGTGAGGGAACACGTGTTTTTGTTGCCTGTGCATGGGGGGCTTTGGCTGGTTTAGCAGGATCCTGTGATGCTCTGCTTGGCCTCATGTTGTATGGCATTCTAGCCCTCTGCGTATCAATCCTTATGCCTGTTTTTCTCTTCCTTTCTTTGCAGATTGAGTGTATGGTTGCAGCTGAAATTATGCAAAGATACAAAAAGCTACAATTTGAAAGAGGTAAGTGGCCTCTGCCGTGTTAGCCAGCTCTAAATCTGACAACAGAAGGTGGATAACATCGATGGAGCTTTCTTTGGGGAGACATGAGTGTACATCATTTTCTGGGATACAACAAGGATGGAAAGCGTCCGTGTAAACTGTACCTGAAATAATGCTGGCAAAGAACCCCCTGAGCCTCTCATAGCCTGGCAGCCTGGGCTTGTGACCTATTTGGCAGCAGAAGGGACTCAGGAGACACTATTTATATACAAAGATTGGGGCTTCTTGCTGGTTTATGAAGATCTTTACTTCAGCCATGTTTGGATCTAATGGTTTTGCAAACTCTTAGACTCTCCCTGCATTTAAAAGACCCAACAGTGTGCAAGGGAGTCTGAAAGTGTGGTACTCCTGCAGGTTCCACTGCCGAATTGAATCTAGATTCATCCTACTGTCTCACTACCCCTTGAAGGCTTAGGTGGCGGTGCTCATGAGTAACTGAGCCGTGGGCCTCAGTGAGTACACCTGTGGCAGCTGGGTGGCTTGTGTGCTTTCTTTTCTTTCTTTCTTTTTTTTTTTGGTTTTTCGAGACAGGGTTTCTCTGTGGCTTTGGAGGCTGTCCTGGAACTCGCTTGGTAGTCCAGGCTGGTCTCAAACTCACAGAGATCCGCTTACCTCTGCCTCCCGAGTGCTGGGATTAAAGGCGTGCGCCACCAACGCCCAGCTGGCTTGTGTGCTTTCTAACTCTAATGGGGATCTAGTTACATCTCCAGCTCTGAGAGCCAACTTCTCCCCTCCTGTTGGGCCCTTCACAGACCTTTCCCTACGATATCGAGTCCTGGTGAAGACACAGAGATAGGTGTGTGAAATGTATCCAGAGGGGTTTAACTTGTTTGGTGATCACGTTGCTAGGCACTGAGGCATGCAGGATGCTGGGAGCAAGGCCTTCATCTTACAATCATAAAATGACGTTTGAAGGAACCTACAGGCCCCATCAGCTCTGCTCTCAGAGACCTGCAGAGAGTAGATGGGAGATGGTACAGTGCTCCCACTACAGAGCATCTAGAGGGCACCCATGAGTGCTCCCACCCTGCAGTGACACCATGAGCCTGGATCTGAGGTCTGCTGCTGAGCCAGATCCCAAGGTGACGTGCTTCCGTGGAAACACGAAATGCAGGGCAGGATGCAGCAGTGACAAAGGGGTGTGGATGCTCAAAAGTTTGAGGTTTTAAAAGAAAGCAGGAGAAATGCTAGAGATACTCTCTAGTTTACTCAAAATTACAATGCATGCACACATGTGTATATACATGTGTGTGTATATACCTGTGTATGTATATGTGTGGATAAATTCAAAACTCAGTTGGGGCTGGAGAGCTATCTCAGCAGTTGAGATATGGTTCTTGCACAGGACTTTGCTTTGGTTCCTAGCACACAGGTGGTGGCTCACCACCATCTGTAACTCCAGCTCCAGGGGCTCTGATGACCTTTTCTGGCCTCTGTGAGCATAACATGCGTGTGGTTCACATATATCTATGCAGGGCACACACATTAAAATTACGTATATACACATAAAGTTAGATTAAATTAATATTTTACAAGATGAATAAGGATTTTTAACAGCTTCAAATTTTGTTTTCCAGAGTCTGTTTCTTTTGAGGGCAGACATCATTCACATTGGGGCAGCTTACCTTAAACTTAATGCCATGCAGCATTAAAGACAGAACAGGGAGTTATAGAGTCGATTCATTTGGATCTGAGAACCTCAGACTTGTTTAAACCCATTTTCATGGGATCTTAACGGAGACTGGGCATTGTTTGTATCACAGGAGCATGAACTTTGTTTGACATCAAATTTAATTCAAATGTGAAGCTGGGTAGGTTTTTCAACCAAATAATTTTAAGCTTTCTTTTTCCTCTGGCTTCGTCTAAAAGATTCTGGATCCATCATAAATGAATCACCTTAACTTAGGTTAGAAAAACACGGAAAACCGTCACTAGAAAAAATCTTAGCAACTTAATGCTGAGTGATGTTTTCAAACGATTTGAAGTGCTGGCCAGATGGAATGTTAGAAGTCAGACAGCTGTGTATTCTAGCCAGCACCTTGAATGAACCTAGACATGTGATCAGAAATCTTCATTCCTTCAAAGTTTAGCTCATGGAGGATGCCTTGGGAGGGAACTCATTCAGATGATTTTCTAACATTTTTAGTTACAGAGAAAGGCCTACAGTGAGTTTAAGCTTCAAACATCTCTTTATTTAGCCCTGGTGTGTCTCGACTGACCCAGCAGCCTGGATTTTCATTTTAGATTCTTGATCTCTCCCCCCTGAAGTCTTGTCCATCTGGAGGTCAGGGACAATTCTTGGGTTACTCCTTTTGCTTTCTAGTACCTTCTGTCCCGTTGGGCTCACTCTAGCACCTGGGTAAGGAAAGGGTCTAGAGAAAGGTTCATGGAACACACTCTTGGGTGTGCCTGCCCTGCAGCTTCTGAGCGTGTGCCATGGAAAGCTACATGTGTCTCTTTCCAGTCTGTCTAGAAGTGCACTGTATCCCAACGTCGTCCTTTTGTTTATTAAAAGAAAAGAAAATCTCAGAGTGATTAATAACACGGCCGGGCACATTTCCAACCCTAACAATAACCAGAGTCCTCAGTTTTCAGTGTCTTCCCAACAGGGTGTAACCCACCACCTCAGATGAGGACCGGGTTACTAAGTGAATCAGCCAACACAGCAGGGAGCACATGAGGGTGTGCTGGGTGCTGGTCCCTCAGAATACTTGTGAAAAGTGGTTGGACGTTTTTTTCTAATAGATCTCTTGGGTCTCTGCTTCACCTATGATCCCTAAGAGACTCATGCTAACCCCAGTCTCCTGAAGAGTAGTTCTGCGGGACTAGTATGTCTTTGGCAGAGTGGAGTTATATCCGGATTCTCTTGCTCCCCGAGAAAGCAGAGCTTGCTTCATGTTAACATATCTCATGTACATACATGTGTGTGTATAATATTATAGATATGATACACTATATAGGATGCGGTATAGCATAGACGATGAGTAATTAATAGACGCTGGTGACAGGGAAGCCGGGAGACACATTTATACATTGTAAGAGAAGCGTGTGAACGCTGTCTGCCCTGAGCTTTGTTACTGACTGATTCCTGTTTGTATGCACAGCTGGAAGACTTGAGCGGCGGGAAGAACAATGAGTGTATTAATAGATTTCCGCTAGGGGTTGGGGCTGCGCTGTCAGCCTCACAGCGCAAGGAGGATGCTGTGGTCTGCTCAGAGGCAGATCACTTCCCTTTTGCCTGTAGGGAATCTCTCCGTGTGGTAATAGGTAAGGCCAGATTATGGCCCTGGGTAAACCAGTCATAGACTTGGAGTTGTTACCATGGAAACCTTCCTTAGGTCTCCTTTCCGTGTCACAGCTGAATGGGCCTTCCGTGATAAAGGTGTAGGGTGGCTCTCTCACTGTTATCAGAAGTGTGTAAAGAGAAGCCCGTCCTATACCCCACTGATGTCTAGGGCTTCCAGAGCAAAGGAGTGTCACCAGGCAAGACATAGGGGTACCCAGGGTCTGAGACAGGAAGCTTTATTCCTAACAAGGCTCAACTAGAACATGACATTAAACAGAAAGTCAGAGGCCTGGGTCCGTGTCACACATTCAGCATGTTGAGTCCCCGTGTCCCCCTCTCCCCAGAACTTCATTCAGTAGCTATGCAGATAGTGTGTATCATACTGGCCTGAGGCCAGACTGGCTCCCCCATCACATGCACAGAGACCAGGTTGGTGAATCTGAGGTTGTGTGTTGACAGGGGAAGAGCTGCTAGCAGAGAGAATCCTGAGGGTTTGGGGGCTATGGGAGCTCCCTGAGGATTTCCTCCCAGCATGCACCTGAGGGCTGGGAGGTTTTAGGGAGCTCTCAGAATCCCAGGGATGAAAGTCAACTCTTCTCCATGTGTTCCAATTCTGTCTCCACACATATCCACACGTTCTGTGGACGGGGACCTTCTTCAGACAGCGCACATTGACACCCAGGTTGGACAGTAGCTGCTCTTCATTCTCAGAGTCAGGGGCATCTCAGAGGTTTCACAGTACTGTAATGGAGTCCAGTCAGTGTGCGAAGCAGGTTCTCAAACCTGGAGTCCCCCTGTTGTCACATGCACCATCTCTGGCCGTTGCTTTCATGTCAACAAGATATATACTTCTATGTTTTTGATGAACTTACCTTAATAAATAAGGCAAGGAGTTACACTAGATTAAAGGTCAGCTGCCATGCCTAGTAGACCAACCCATCTCCTACCTCCAGCTACTATAATTTAGGTTTCCTCAGAACCTTCATTTATGGATGGTAGTCGGCTCTTAACCCCAGTAGCAAAACCAAGTAGATGTTACAGAAACCCCCAAGTCACATGGTCCCTATCGATGTAAATAATCCCTACCCTGCCCTTTACAAAGGTTGGCCATCTTCTACTACAGAGGGTAAGGTCATTATTGAGATTATACTTGACAGGGTTGCTCCTTCGGCACCGCCCAGAGTGCCCTGTGTTCTTGAGGGACAAGGAACCCATGGAAAGGCACACACAAGCCGTATGAGGTCACATACTCTGCAGCTTCAGACCTTGGAACTGAGGGTTTATTTGACTCACAGTTGGAAGTTCTGTAAGCCCACCCCAGTGGGGAAGTCATGGTGGCAGGAATGGGAGGCAACTGGTCACACTGTATCTGCAGTCAAGAAGCAGGAAGGAATGAATGCCTGTTCTTAGCTTCATTGCTCCTTCTTATTCAGCACAGGACCCCAGTGCAAGGGAATGATGCTCCCTACAGTTAGAATGAGTCCTCCCACATCAATTGTCCTAATTTAGAAGCTGCCTCAGAGATGTGCGCAGAGGCTTATGTGTGAGGTGATCAGTCAACACTCATCATCACAACCCTCCCCGCTCTCAGTCGGCCGGGTGTTCCAATGAGTAGAGTTCCCGTCCTTGAAGCAGGTGAGCCACAGCCACGTCTGGCTACCTGGGGTCGGGCCAGGATGTTTGCAAACACCCTTTTCCTTGCACTTTAGCAAGCTACTTTTGCACATTTGCCCATCAAAATTCAGTGCTTCCCAGAACAGTGGGTCATCCACTGGCCTGCCGTGGTCCCTGTCAGAATGTTAGCCTCCTGGTGGTGTCTTCTACCACACCTGGTGTAAGTTTAAAGTCCACTAGAGAGGAGAGAAAGCTGGATGCCTGACTGACTCACTCTGGAGGGCAGCCATGAATGCAGGGCTTGGATCGGGTTGTAAAGGATGGAATGCCACATATCCTGGTTTTAAACTCAACTTCCTGACCAGTCCCATTAAGAAAGGCTTTGCAGTAGCTTGGGCTTAATCTGCAGGGAACACAAGCTGTTAGTTTTACCCAGGTTTAGACTTGGCAAGAGGATGTGTCTTGGTCATGTGAATCACCCTACTAGAAGACTAATTGTGAACAAAATACAACACCTAGTTCTGGAAATGCCATAGCAAAAGCCGTGGTTCTGTATGCCACCGCAGACAGGAAGAAAGGCAGTAAGACTAAGGCAACATCTTCCTTTCCTCCTCCTGCCTTTTTACCTTCCAACAAAGATTTGCAAGTGTCTGTGTGTGAACCTGGCACTGGCTGTCACGGGAATTCAGGAACTGTGTTCTGGTTGTGGTGGGAACATGGGGGAGGGTGGGCAGGTCAGACAAGGATCTGGTGATGTTGGCACCCAGAGAGACTGGGCTGGGTGAGGACTTCTCCAGAATGAAAAGGAACTGATGGCGGGCGCTGGAGCCCTCAGCATGCCAGGTACGAGGGTGAAAAGCTGGGAGAGGCTTGGGTGGAGCTGGATGAACATGGGGTTCAGGATCAGTTTTTCTGGAGTGTATCTGGCTGGGTCACCTGGATGGCTTCCATTCTGACTGCCTTAGTCGGTGCCCCCAGAGGGTCTTCTCCACGCTCACCCTCCCCAGCTTCCGCCATGTCCTGAATCTGATTTTTATCTTCTGTCTCTTTGTGCTAGAGGTGCTTTTTGACCCTTGCCGGACATGGTGCCCAGCATCCACCTGCCAAGCCGTGTGCCAACTCCAGGACGTAGGGATGCAGACCCCCCAGCTGGTGCAATGCAAAGCCTGCGACATGGAATTCTGCTCCGCGTGCAAAGCCCGCTGGCACCCTGACCAAGGCTGCCCCGAGACCATGCCAATCACCTTCCTTCCTGGGGAGACCAGGTACGGCTATGCAGGAGCTGTGCTAGACTGAATGGGCTGGGGGGCTGAGAGCCATGGGCTGGGGGCTGTGACTGGCAGAAGAGGTAGGCTTCGTTCCGGAAAGTGCCACCTGAGAGCATGTGACTATTAAGTCACTGGCCTCAGGCCTCAGTACACGGTCCACCTCCTGAGTCTCTTTCACACCTGTGGTTTACTTGTGAGAATATTTGCCAGCTACAGTGCAAGTGTCTGGTAATGTAAAGATGTGTAAGAACCCCTCCCTACTCCCTACGTGGGATGAGAGATGCACTGTGGGCTACATGCCCGGATTAAGTCCTTTGGTACCTGCAATTTTTCCTCTGTTGGAGGTGATCTGAAATGGGAGTGTGGGGGTAAGAACAATGGTCATAGTGAGTGCTGGTGACAAGCAAGATCACTGATACGGGTACCTGAAGCTAAGAGCTCCGCATCTCTCTAAAACTGGGTCTATTAGAATCTGGCAAAACACTAACTGCTGAATTTCTTCCCTCTTGCTCCTTCCAGTCAGACAGCCCAGCTGTTTGCCTAGGTGGACTTTGTAAATCAATGCCGTGAAATCTTAAAATTCAACAGAGTGAACCATAAGAAATTGGTTATAGCAGGGGCATCCCTCCCCAACAAAATGTGTACTGTCATGTAGTTCAGCTAGGCAAAGTGGCCGTGCTGATGCTGAAGAGATTAGCATGACTGCCCGATGGTCCCTGATTTCCTTTGTCTGTCACCACCCTTCCCTCCCCACCCTCCCCCCCAGCTGCCCCGCTGGTCTCTGGTTAGCTTTGTTTCCCCATCTTCAGGAAGACACCCCAGCCATGTTCCAGCCACAGATCCTCTGTTGCTCTCCCAGCACAGCACTGTCATCTGTCATCTTTCACTTTGTACACTGTCCCCAGGCCCACAGGTCCCTCTCCCACCATGTCCCCTGTCCAGAGCCTCCTTGCTGCCCTTTGCACAGGGCTATCATCCCTTCTGTCAGCTCTGTCACCAGGGCGGGCTTGGTGACGGCATCCTTTGCTTTCCTGCTGCAGCGTGGATGCATGAACCACCATCCAGGACTTGCTATGTTGTAGGTCCCTGTTCCCATGGCTGATGCTTCTGCTGACAGAGGCAACGCATGCTTGCTGTTTGACCCGGCGTGCATCGGGCATTTGATCCTAGCCGCCAGACACTAGCCATATGATACTAGGTCACTGGTTTTAGATGCCAGGTTATAGAAGCTTCCAGACCCTGGGAAGAAACGTCCTTGCTACATAGCTTGATTAAAAGTAATTGGCAGGGCTGGAGAGATGGCTCAGAGGTTAAAAGAACTGACTGCTCTTCCAGAGGTCCTGAGTTCAATTCCCAGCATCCACATGGTGGCTCACAACCATCTGTAATGAGATCTGGTGCCCTCTTCTGACATGCATGCAGAACATTGTATACATAATAAATAAAAAAAAGTAATTGGCATAAGTTGACTTCCAGCGAGGGGAGAGCTAGAAGCAGGTGAGGCATCTACTCAGGGAAGCAGTCCAGTTGTTTGTCCCTAAGAGTAATCCCTAGTGAGTGAGTGAGTGACTCCTCCCTCTTAGCCAGAGTAATAGGAATGGAGGACACTTTCTAGTGGAATAAAGGAGGCTCCTAGCCCAAGCATTTTCCTTACCACAAAACTTCCTCAGGGGCTGGAGATGAGCCCAGTCGGTAGACTGCTTGCCTAGCAAGCAGGAAGCCCCATGTCCAGTAACCACCCCTGCTTACACCAGACATTGTGGCACATGCTGCAGTCCTGGCATTCAGGTGGGCGTTGACACTGAGTATCTTCCTGGATTACTCTCCAGTGTATATTTTGAGGCAGGGTCTCTCAGTTGAACCCAGAGCTCATCAACCAGTTAGACTAGCAAGCCAGCTTGCTTCGGGGATACACAGTCCTTACCTGTCTCTAGTGCTGAGATTGTAGAAAGATTCCACACCAACCCATCTTTTACAGGGGTTCTTGGGATCCAAACTCCAGTCCTGGTGCTTGCATGGCAAATACCCTTCCCACTGAGTCATCCTCCTGGCCTTTCCCAGAATTTCTTAACCTATCACCTTCTATCAGTGGATAGAACAGAACCTAATTCACTCAGGAGCATGTGCCTCATGATACTTAGGAAACTGGAGGACACGATCATAGGGAGTGTGTTCCCTGCTAATCATCAGATGGGCTGTGCTGAGGTGTCGTTTAATCCTTGTACACATTCTGGCCCCATTTAACCCCTGTACATACTGTAGCCCTTCGGAAAAATCCACTGCCAAGATGCCTGCTAATTGCAGCATGGCTTGACTTCAGCAATTGTGCATTCAGACGGGTTGCACTCTGCAAACACTGCTTGACTCCAAGGGGAGCCATCTCTTTCCAGTTCATACTGGATTGATGCTGCGGGTTCTAACACAGTACAGTATGCACCCCCAGAATCTGTGGTATCTTCTCTTGGCCTTTACTATTTAGTCTTCCAGATGCCGTCATGAATGTGTATTTAAGAGACTAGCCATTGTAAAGAACAAACAAAGAAAAATAAACCTGATATGGATATCTTCCTTAGCCATGCATAAATACCTGTTTTATTTTTGAAACATTAATTAACAGTATTGACTTCTTGCTCCTTTTTAACCAGTTACTGTCTTAGTCACTGTCTCATGTCTGTGAAAAGACAGCATGACCAAGACAACTCTTACAGAGGAAAGCATCTAACTGGGGGCTGGCTTACAGCTTCCGTGGGCTAGTCCATGATCGTCATGGTGGAAAGCAGACCTACCTAGCGCTGGAGCGGTAGCTGAGAGCTTTACATCTTAATCTGCAGGTGGGGATGATGGGGTGGGAGACACTGGGCATGTTGTGAGCTTTTTAAACCTCAAAGCCCATGCCCAGGGACACGTGTCCTCCAAGAAGGCCACACCTACTCCAAAAAGGCCACATGTCCTAACCCTTCTCATCCTACTCAAGCCCTCCCCTGCTGATTAAGCATTCAAACGTAAGAGCCTATGGCAGCCATTCTCATCCAAACCGCAGCTACTTTGCACAAGAGGATACTTTCTTAGGCCCACACTGAAGACTAAGGCTCGTAGAGGCGTCCTATAGCTAGCTTGCGGAGGAGCTAGCATCTGCCACCAGACTTTAAACTATAATAACCATTGAACCTCCGTCGTAGGTTCTCAGGGAAACGGTAGTGACAAACAGGCCAGCCAGACCTTCGGAAACAATTGCGTATCTTCATGTGTGTATGTTTATAACTTTTTTTTTCCTGATGAGACCAAAGTGCATAAAATTTATTATCCGTTCTTTGGAAAATGCACACATTTCTGAAGCCCCAAAACCATTCCTCAGGTTCTCCCCAGTATAAGCTTCAAGCTATATATTAGTTTTTCTGTAGAAATATATAGCTAGGTATGTGCTGGTGTTGCCTTGTTTGTGTTTTGTTTTTACCTTAATCCAGCAGGTTTGCTCTGTTTGTTTTCTAGGGTGATTGTTTCTTTTTCTTTAGTAACAAGAGATCTGGGGTCCCTGCAGTAGAGAGGTGCTCTGAGGTGCTCCCAGCACAACCCTGCCCTGCATCTGGGTCTCTCTTGATCTCTACTGTGTGACTCTCATAGTGTGTCTCCCACAGTTCTGCTTTCAAGATGGAGGAGGGCGACGCCCCCATCAAGCGCTGCCCCAAGTGCAGGGTGTACATCGAGCGGGATGAGGGCTGTGCACAGATGATGTGTAAAAACTGCAAGCACGCCTTCTGCTGGTACTGCCTGGAGTCTCTGGACGTGAGTACTGCGCCGCCTCACATGGCAGCCATGAGCCCCGAGTCTAGATATGTGGGAGAGGAAGCTGGGGATGCTTGCTCCAGGGAAGCTGGAGGCCACGCTGGTCACAGAGAAGTAGCATCAGGGGATGATTCTTCTGTGTTTATGGTTCCCAGGGGTGAAGCTTGGTCACTAGTGCTGGGTATAGAAGCTTAGGGCAGGCTTTGGTCACTAGTGCTGGGTATAGAAGCATAGGGCAGGCTTCAGGTTCAGCTTTATGTTGAAGAGTGTCCTTGGGGTCTCTGTAAAACACCAGTCATTCTCCACATGTAGCAAGAAGGAAGTCTGGTTCAATGTGACTGCATAGCCGGTGCTGGTTCACCCTTCTATAGTATGACCCTGGACAGTTTGTTTTAGTCATATTTAATCACAGTACAATTTGGGAAAACACTTCCTGGTAAAACACAATCCAGTGTGCACCAGAAGACACAATTACACTGAAGCTTTTCTCCGAGCACATGTGTGCATGTCACTTCTAACAAGGAGATAGGATCTAGAGATGGGCTACATGTGTTATCTTAAGGGCCTGGGGAGAGGCTGGAATGGTCTTGATCACGCAGATAGCTCACATCCTTCTGTTACCAAGAAAAAAAGAGGTGCTTTGGGTGTCTTAAGGTCTGGCTCTTTAGGTCCAATCCTGATGAGCCTGGATGTTATGATAGGGTACCGCAGACTGGGTGATAAACAGTAGACATCCATTTCTCACAGTTCAGGTGCTGGAGAGCTGCACTAAAGCAGAGACCACCTGTCTCCTGGTACTCAGTGGTTCTGATACACATTGAGGTACCCTGAGTGGTTAGAATTCTAAGAGGTAACCAACACGGTGAGCCCAGCAACCTGACAGTCTGGAAGTGACTGACTGTCCTGAGAATGTGAGGAGAGGCCACGTGGAGGGAGACATGGAGCAGACAGTTCTCTGCACCGGGAGAGGATGCCTGTTCACTATAAACATGGGAGAACGTGGGGGTTCAGGGTGGTTGCTGGACTGGTTCTTGAGTAAAGGGAAACCTTGCAAAATGTTTCTCAAAATCTGAACCGAGGGGGCACTGGCCTGGTAGGAGCTGGTCTGGTCTTGTGGGAACTGACAGAGGCAGGTCCAGAGAAAACCCGATCTTCCTCTTCAGTCTCCTGTGTTGGAACAAGCTCCAGAGGCACCATTATACCCAGGAGAACCCTTCTCTGGCTCAACACTGGCCCCAAGACTCCCTCAATGGAACGAGGCTAACAGTTCCCTCTGCCTGCTCTGTGGAAAGGGATGGTGGCCAAGGTTTCAGCACCTCCCCCTCCCTGTCATTCTTGCCTGTGCCCTCATACTGTGTATCTGGGATATAAAACTTACAGAGAGCTGGAGTCCGACATTCACCGTAGACCTTTATCTGCCCTTTCCAGGATGACTTCCTCCTGATACATTATGACAAGGGGCCTTGTCGCAACAAGTTGGGCCACTCCCGGGCATCAGTGATCTGGCATCGGACACAGGTAAGGGGCTGCTCACCTTGAATTTTGACCTCAAGGAAAGGGGTGTGTGTGTGTGTGTGTGTGTGTGTGTGTGTGTGTGTGTGTGTGTGTGTTCTAGAAGTCTTTCTAGTGATGTTGATAGCCTTGGCCCAGTGTTCGAATATGTGCCCAGTGCCCATTTGGTGTCTAGCATCAGACTTGTTGCTTGCATTTTAATTGTGACTTTGGTCATGACCTGCCTGGTGACCATACTGTTACTCTTGGTCCCTGATGAAGAGCTACCTTGAGCTGTCCTGAGAGAGGCAAGCAAGTTGCTAACAGAAAAGGACGAGGGGGAAGTAATGGAACATGTCTGCTGTCTGCGGAGCTTCTAAGTGGCTCCTGGGTCAGCTGACTCAGCAGTGTTGAGTTAAATATTGAGTGGTATTTGTCACCTGTGTGCCAGCCACCTCTCTAAGACATTCTTCTATGGAGCCTGCTTTCTGTTAGGTGCAAAGGATAGAGATGGTGACATGGCAGACTCCCCATGACATACAGAAGCTATGAGTGAGGGGTTGGGCAGGGCTCTTAGATGGCGTGGGTGGGAAAGTTCCTTGTGTTAGTGCTGCTTCTGAGTGTCCAGGAGTAGACCCATGTATGTGCGGGGCAAAGGAGAGGGGACAGGGCAGGTGAGGTGCTTGGGTTGTGGAAGGATGGATCCATGTGGATAGTGAGACAGGGAGTATGGGGTTAGTCTGGGATTTTTAGCAAGGCCGCATCTCCACGGGCTTTGTGGAACCTAGCAGACATGGCTTTTATTTGCAATGAAGTTGGGAACTACGAAGGGGTTAGGAGAGTGGAGTTTGCAATACTCCCTAGTTGCCGTGGAAGGGGCTTCTTTCCCAGGAGTCCTCTGAGGTCACTGTGCCAGTCCATCTGAAGACAGAGATCCACTCTCTGGACACCAGCCTAGAGCTGGGACTGCGTCTAACTGTAACTACACTTCCATGGCACTCTTAGCTCCGGGTTGATGGGGATGGGAGCCCACCAGTATGAGTGTCCATAGCAGGGCCGGGGGGATCTCCTGTAAAGTGTTATTTGGGAACAGGTAGTGCTCCTAGCTGATGCCTCCTCCTCATTGCCTAATGGTAATGGGGTTTGCTTTGGGGTTCTGTGCTTTCCAAACAGCACCATCTATCAGCATCTCTGGCAGGGGTGGGGGTGGGGGATGTCACCCGCAGTTGCACAGTTGTCCTCATGAAAACGAGAGCTTCTGTATGATACACAGCAATTCAGAGACACACAGGTCTTGAGAAAGGGAGCAGAGGATATCAGAAATTAGACCTAGATTGGTCAAGAGCAGTGTGCAGACCAGGGCTCAAGGACAGGGAAGGTCGCCTCAACAGTGACCCGAGTGTGTGAAGTTACAGAAGCAAAGGGCAGACGTGGCTGTCCACGAGGGAGACTGTGTCCATGGAAGGCCTGTGCCCCATACTTTGTGCATTTCCAGCAAGACCAGGCCCTGTGCTAGGTCCCTGCAGCTTTCAGTTTTATCCAAACCCAATGTACCACAGAGTGCCCTTGACTGTGGTGATATCTTTCTTGCACAAATAAAGCTTGTCTGGGGGTCAGGGAATGGAGCTAACCATAGAGGTCTGGAGGTCTGTACAGACAGACAGGAAGTGATGTAGCTGGGCATAAACAGGATATAAGCAGGGACAAACAGGAAATGGCTCTCTTCTCTGCTGAGACGATTAGGAGGTAAGGTGTGCTGTGGCTTGCTCCTTCTCTCTGATCTCTCAGCATTTCCCTCTATATCTGACTCCGGCCTTTGATTATCTAGACCAATTAAGAACTCCTTTTTCAACATGACCCCCCAAAGATCCCTTTATTCTTCTGCTTTGCCTGGCTTGGTGGCTTGCCTACAGCGGCCCTGTTCCCCAGCCAGCCTTCTGATTCTGGATCCAGCCACACCTCCCCCGTTTCCTCTTGGGATAGGCTTCCCGTCTTAGCTCTTCCTCCGCAGACTTGCTAATGACACTGAGAGACCGAGGCTTATCATCTGTCATCAATATCCTCGTGACACGTTTATTGGGTGTTTACAGAGCGCCCAGTAGTCTAGAGTAAGGAAGGGTCTGGGGCCACATCTTTCTTGTGTTTATGAGTTTGGCATAAGACCTCCCCTGCTCTCCTGCGTCTGCACAGCCTCGCTCTTCACTAACACTGAATCTCTGCTTCCGGCCCGTGCTCAGCTCTGCGATCCCGCCTGCACTCTGTGCAGCCCATTTAGACCCTTACATCTGACTTGAAAATGCGACGTCACCTCCCATTCCTCAGGAATCGGCTGTGCCCCCATCATGTTGGTTGCTCTCACGTCTGCCTTCCCCTCTGGATGTTGCATCTGTCTAACTCCTCTTCACACATCACCCCGTCCCCAATGTAAGAGTTTGTTCATCCGTATAACCTCAATGCCCTGGTCCTGTTCCCTGAGCCGAGACCTGCTTCAGAAGTGGTCCTCGGGTAAAGTGAAGCGTGGACCTTAGTGTGGCTTCACGGCGTGGTCCCCATCCTTCATCCTCCAGCTGCTTCCCGGATGTGTAGCATATTCGAGATAGGGTAGCCACCATCTTTGTCCTGGCTCTTCAGGGTCTGTTCCTGGTGAACCAACAAGAGGTGGAAATAATGAGCCTGTGGGTTCCCACCCAGAGGACGACTGAACATCTGGGTGTGGGCACGGTGGTGACATTGCTTGAGCTTCTGATGAAAAGACAGACAAGCTCCAGCGATGGAAGCAGTTGTTATGTGGGGAGCAGAGCCTCGTGACAGATGTGGTGTGAAAGGGGACATGTAGACAGTGGCTGGAGGGGACGTCTGTGCTCTCAAGAGGCCCCCCACACCCCTATGCCTGCCTTTCAGAAACGGGTCCATCACAGAGAAAGCTCCCACTTCCTCTGCCTGATTCACTGAAGTCCTGCCTGCTACTGTCCTTCTAGCTTGCTGCTGCATTGCTGGCCACTTGCTCCTGCATTGCTGGTCACATCTTCCCATTTGCGAAACTTTGAATGAAATCCAGCAACCCTAATGCTGCCTGTTGACAGGCTGGGATCGGGGGTTCTCATAATATTGCAAGGCAGTGTGAAAACTGGAAGCAGGGACACAGCCTGTTGATAATCCAGGCTAGAAGACCATAATAAAGCATAATGAGACAGGGTGGGGGTTGCTGTATAAGACTATGTGTCCTGAAGGCTTCACCTTGCAACAACAACAACAACAACAACAAAACCCACTTTAAAGAAGGAGAAAGCATGGGCAGAGACTCGACGTGATGGGTCAGTGCCACTATGCATTTGGGGGATGTAACGGTAATTGGGTCAGACAGGAGCTGGGAAGAGAGACAGTGGGTGCTGTGGGAAAGGCTCACGCTGACACTGGGAACCTTAAGTTTTAGAGCCCCAGAATAAAATGCTGCAGGGGGTCTAACTTAAAGATCCCCCATATCATAGTTAGCATCACCCCCACCTCTACAAAGCGGGAAGCCTGACAACAGCCTGATGTCCTCTCCTGCCCCTCTCTCCCACTCACATCCCTCTGCCCCAGTCCTGTCTCTGGCACCCAGTATCTCCAAAGCACCCAGCCTGCAGCACATCTTAAGCCTGGGCTTTTGACTTTGATTTGACAACACCCATAGGTAGACACATGCGACAGACACCCTGCTGTGCTGACAGGCATCTGGACGCCCACTGTCTGCTTCTACATCAACTGAAGTCCTGACAGTGGCCCGCCAACCCTGCAAACAGGCCAGGTAGACCTTCCCACTGCCACAGATGGGGCCACTGCTGAGAACTTCATAAGAGATGGGATTCCAGGAATGCATCTCTCTGTGGCTCAGGGTCTTGCTCAACTCAGACCTCCACGGCAGTCACGACTGACCTCAAGTCCAGCATACTGGGACCACAGTGTTTGAGGGTGTTGTCCTTGGTGTGAAATATGCTGGTATTGTGGGTCCCTGCTTCCTTACTCTTCCTTGTTATAAAGTTTGGTAGCATTGTTCTTGCAGATTTGGTGGACTCTGCTCCTTGGAGACATTGCAGCTAGCTTTATATCAGTTTTCTAAGCGTAAAGTACTGCACACTACATTTTACTCACCGTACCTCTGTCAATTCTAACACAACCGCATGCTCTGAATGAAGAAAACTCCCTTATCTTCTCAAGGCTCTGCACAATTTACCTTGTCTTGGTATTACACTCATGTGCACAAACACAGACACACACACACACACACACACACACGCATGCACGCACGCACATATGCACACATCTATTCAGGTTGACAAGGTCTACTGCGGAGATAAACAGGAGTAGAAGGTGGTGGTATCTGGGCTGGCTCTGGTGCTGACTGGGCAGAAAGACATCCTATGAGCTATAAGTTGAGTTTCAGTTGATGGTATATTGGGGTAAGAACCTGAATGATCAGAGGAGTGGCTGAGAAGTAGCTGGTGACCTCCTATCTCTGTTGTTCTTCCATCCAAAAGGATGAAGACCCTCTCTGAGCCCCGCCCTACTACTTCCTGTGTCTATCTGTCCTCATTTCCCCAAGACCTCTATGGTTAAGTTTGGTCAGCTAGTTCTAGCCCCACCCTCTGATTCAAACCAAACTCTATTGTCAGTCTCAGGTGCTACAGAATGCGTTGAAAGCATCACTGAGTGAAATGTTTTTGTGTCACTCACTTTTGTGTCTCTCTTCTCCTTCTGGTGACGTCAGCATCCACCCATAACCAATGGGCAGTGGCTTGGTAGGTCAGCTTACTAAACAGCGTGCAGATCCAGACAGGCAGGTGAGGTGCAGAGATGAGATGGAGCCTCATTGGCGAGAGTGTGAGGGTACACTCATGGGTTTGACTGTACAGGACGGGGCCCCGCAGTCACCTGCTGCTGCTCAGCTGGGGTTATTAGGAGCTCCAGATGACCTTGGGTGACCTCACTCTGCTCTCATGGGCCTCAAATATCAGTGCACAAGTGACTTTTTGAAAATATTTTTAAAACATCATTTGCATACGTGTGTCCGTGTCCGTGTCCGTGTGTGTGTGTGTGTGTGTGTGTGTGTGTGTGTGTGCATCTGAGTGGGAGATAAAAAGACAGCGTCAGATCCCCTAGAGCTGGAATTGCAGGCGTTTGTTTGTGGCCTGCTCAGCACCAATGCAGGGAACGCAGCTCAGGGCCTCTGTAAGGGCAGTGTGCAGTCCTAAGTGCTGATCCTTCTCTCCAGCTCCTACAGTCTTCACGTGACTTTAACATATCGCCTGGCCTGCTTGGTACCATCCCACCACCAATGCTATGCTTATCAAATGAGCATCCAAAGGCTCGACGTCCTCACTGCCTCATTTATCACTGCAGTGTGATGTCTTTTATCAAATGTGATCTTATTTATAAATGTGGGTGTGTCCATGCTTGCATGCACTGTGGCGTATCTGTATGTGTGTGATTCATCTCCAGGAAAAGTTCCAGTGAAGAAATTCTTTCCTTCACGAATGTTCGCTGCTTTATAATGGACCTTAGGGATCCTTTGTTAAAAACAGGCTTGGGGAAGTCTTGTATTTATCATCTTGAGCACTAGGTGGCAGCCTAACTCCACGTTCAGCTTTCAGAACGAAGCCTGGGGTTGAACTAAGTAAGGCTAGGGAAAAAGAGAACTGTGTTCATATGAAACAGCCCCACTACCTGGTGTAAACATCAGCAGGCCTTCATCTGCCAGTTATACCTGGGGGGGGTGGCACACGCTTTTAATCCCAGCACTGGGGAGGCAGAAGCAGGTGGATCTCTGTGAGTTCAAGGACAGCCTGGTCTACAGAGAAAGTTCCAGGACAGCCAGGGCTATACAAAAACCCTGTCTTGAAAAACAAAATAACAATAATAATACATAAGGGTCCATGTTAGGTTTTTAACTCCAAAAAGGCAAGGGTAGTCTAATGTCCCATGTCCCTGTCACTCTTGTTCTTCATTTGAGGGGTCTTGTCCTTGCCCTCTTATACACTAAACCATCTGGACATCTTTGTCACCTCAGCCAGGACACTGTCCTCTAGCCAAGCTAGGCCTCTGTCTCTTGGGTGACCTTTGCCTGGAACTGAACCCGCTTCCTGTGAGGTGTATTAGCCTTTGATGAAATCTTAGTCTTTCCACTAGACTGTGTTCTCCTGGGGCGCCCGGATCTCAGGCGTGTTTGCGTTTGTATTCGCTGGCCATGGCCCTGCTAATAATGATGGTTGCTTAGGAGAAATTGGTAATTGTCTGAATGCACAGAAAAACAGGTGGGGGTGGGGTCGTGAAGGGAGAAGAGAAAGGAAGGGAGGGAGAGCAATGAGAAAGGAATGTTATTGGACGAACCAATGGTTGGGTGGAGAGACAGGAGGAGGGGGGTCCATGGGTGACTGTTTAAGACCTGGTCCGATGAGGGTAGGTGGCGGATGGATCCACACGTGGCCCGGTGGATGGCTGGATGGGTTAGTGGGTGAATGAGCGCATGGATGGTGGGTAGTTGAAGAGATGAATGGGTACCATGGGCAAACTGTATGGTGGGCCTATGGGCGGATAGATAGATACATGATTGGAAGTGTGGGTGCAATGGTGGGTGGTGGTGTGGTTTCAATTTCGGCTGTGGAGCTTGCAGACCAGTCCTCCTCACCTCTCCTCTCTCTTTCCCTTCAAGGTGGTGGGAATCTTTGCTGGATTTGGGCTCCTGCTCTTAGTGGCGTCCCCTTTCTTGCTCCTGGCCACACCCTTTGTCCTTTGCTGCAAATGTAAGTGCAGTAAAGGGGACGATGACCCACTGCCCACCTAAGGACGGCGTGATGCTGGAGCAGACCCCTGCCTCAGGACGCGGGGCTCCCCTACCCCTCAGCAGCCCCTCTCTCACTAAGCATGCTTCTTGCCTTATGTGCCCCAGTGAGCTGCAGAGATTTCAGGGATGACCTCAGCAAGTGGGCAGAGGCCTGCGGGTGTGGCCTCCGGGGTGGGGGAGGCGAGACGCAAGTGGGCGGGGCACATCCCACAGAGTCCTTCTGCGTCTACAGAGCTGGCCTGAGGTGGCATCAGCTGCACCTGAGTCAGTTTTATCTCCCTGGCCATAGACTGGAAATGTTCCATGGGAGCTTACGAGACCCACTCAGACAAGGGGATACCTTGGCTTCAAGATGGCACCACGTTGTCAGGAGAAGTCTTCGAGAATTAGGACTCTCTTCAGCCAGCACCTGATTATCTGACTTGAGAAAAATCTCTGTTTGTGACAACTGTTTTTACTCCTAAAGGCATTTAGTAAAATCCTTTTTAGAAGGCTTTTTTTTCCCCTTTCTGTCAACTGAAAATAGTGAAAATCAACAAGGTGCGTATAAACCATCCTATGCCTTTTTCGAAATGTGCATTTTATGAAGTTGTAGACAAATGACTTTTCTGGCCTGATCGCTTTTTTTCCCAGGAGCTACAGAAAGCCTTATGCACACTTTGTGTTCTTCTTGGAACCTGCTGTAATTACTGTTAGAATGTCGTGAGCTGTGTACTGTTACCCACATGGGACCCCTGTTGCATTTCTTTGAAGATATGGACACATGTAAAGGGTCACCTCGGGCTTTAGATCACTCCCCTCTCCCTGCTTCTCCAGTTCAGCTCACAGAGCCCATTCCTTCTGTCCCCCTTCTCCCAGGCGGTGGCAAATGCCTTTGAGTATCTTCAAACCACATGCTACACTCTGAGATAGTTTTACTCCAAATGACTCTGCTTTGACTCCTTGACCCACCTTTCAGGTAGGCGGAGAGGAGAGTTCGAGTCATCCATCCCTGGGGAACTCTTGGAAGTTGGGTGTTAACTCTCTGAAATCTTTGCATTGTTCGAATGCTTTAGGTAATTTGAAAAATCATGTGGCTCGCAGGACACAGCCCCAACCCTGTAGTTAACCGGTTTGTTCTTGCTAGGGGAAAAAAAACAAAAAGAGAAAGAATGAAAGGAAGGGTGGGAGGGAGGGACCCTGTTTCACTCAATTATGCTGCTGTGGGGGAGTTTGTGAATCGGTCTTTTCCGGGGGCTGTGTGTTTCCATGTCAACAAAGCACAAGATAATAAGACACATGTACTCCACCAATCGACTCTGAAAATGGGAGAGAGTGATTTCCTTTAGAATTGACTTTCCAGCCCAACGAGCTTCCCAGGGGTAGGGTGGAGGTGTAGAGGTTTGCAGGGAGGGAGGTGGTCTGAAGGCTTCCTTAAGCATCCTACACAGGAGTAAAGGAAACCCAGAGTCCTCAGCCATTGTCTTTGTGTGACTCTGCTAGTAGACACTGCCTGCCCAGAAATGACTCCATTTTCTTCATTTTCAGTTGACAGTGAACGAGGTAAGACAACCTCTGGCCTCTCACCATTTGGTATTGATTTTCTTTATTAAGCTAAAGCCGTTTAGAAACTCAGTCCATACCGAAACCATACTCAGAAAGTCCGGGGCCGGGGGCACGTTGAGATTTAAAGTTCACTTGTCAGTGTGACCTCTGAGACCTTCGTTCGAGGTGAAGCCTGACCTTGAGCCTCTGTGGTTGGAAACATGGGGAAACCATGGCTTTCCTGGAAAGGAATAACAACTTTATGGGAGTCACTGGATGAATTTGAGGCCCCCCCAAGCCCACAATTTGTATGTGAAACCATTTGGCCACCACCCTTTAAAATGCCCGTCAGAAGTGGCAGTCAGCCTGGGCAGACTTTCCACCACCATGGTCCCTCCTGCTTGCCTTGATCAGTTCCATTGCTCAGTGGCATTCGTCCTTGTCCTTAGGGTGGGAGTGACAGCCTTCTGGGAGGCTGTGTTCCCAGGCTGCAGCACAGGCTGCCTTATCGAAGCTGGAGACTTTTGAAGGTTCACACACCTCTGTAAACCTCACCTGTTATTCACACCTCAGCCTACAGGGATTGACCTTCCCAAGCACACGACCAACCGGACACAGGCAGGGACCGCATCGATGCTGGGGCCAGCCAGGTGTGGCCAGAGAATCCGTGTCTGCCCCGAGCCTTCGTGTCAAGCACACTTACTTACTCAGTTGGATTTAGTAATAAAAACTAGCTTGTCCCTTCCCTCTATAGAAGCACCAGCAAGATCACACCGGAATATGTAAACTTGCATTGTTCCCCGTGGGAGTCCTTTTAGTAGAGACCACCACACCCCTTTATTATGGGCGTCCAGCTTGAACCGTGTGTGGAATAGTGTAGATGACCCCCAGATGCAGCTGGTCTTGCTGTCAGTCCCGGGGAGCCTGAAGTGCTCTGTGGTCAGTAGTAGCACCGTTTCTATTGCTCAGTGTGGTTTGTCGGAACTGAAAATCAAGTTCCCTGAGACAGGCCGTGTTCCCAATGGAAGGTGGTTCAGTCCTGGGCTTTTGGAAAAGACTCTCAGTGACAGGCTGTGGGGCTGTCTAGTAAGGTTCACTGAGGGCCTGATGTCCTGTGGGTTATCTGAGGCCCATTGTGTGGCTGACCACACCACAGTCTTGCTGAGTGTGCTTATCCTGGGGCTTCATATGCTCACCAGGGTGACACCTTCAGAGGTAAAATCACCATAGGTGTTCGTGGAGGACAGGGAGCCAGCTCCATGTGGGGTCAGAGAGTTGATCCCATGAGTTATGGCCCACCTCACCACCTGGGTACCTGTCTTGAGGAGAACAAATCTTCTCTACAGCCTATTGTCCCATAAAACAGGTGTGAGACCCTGGCCAGGTTCCCCATTAAACACAACCCCCTCCCCCCCACAGGAGGAAGGATCATCAGCCTTGATCATTTGACTTCTAGATGAACTTATCTTTTCCATTGGAGTTAGAAAAGGGAAAGATTACTTTACGAATTAGAAGTGTTTCCCTTGGCCGCCTTTAAAAATTAGGGGATTGGAGAGAATGAGGGAGGGCTTACCTTTTATGCTTTCCAGATTCCCACAGATTAATAAACATACCTGTGAATATGTATATGTAAATCACAATGAAATCAACAAGGGAAACCATTTTGCATGTGTACAATTTCATGAAGGTTTCCTTAAAAAACGAAAAAACAAAAAACCAAAGCTTGTTTCTCCCTTACAATGAACCTAAACCTTATGAAGTTCAATGAGGTAAAGAGATTGTGACTGGCTGTTGCCAAAAAACTCACCCAGGAGGGAAGGGCTTATGTTTAGACATTTGCTGATGCCCCGTGACATTTGCTGGAGACCCCATGGTCTCCAGCCCTCCTGGCTTGTATAATCCTGTCTTCCAAGATCCCAGGGCCCTCTAATTAGGTGTAGCTGTGTGCCATGTGCCTGACTTTTTTTTTATACTTTGCTTACTTTGACTTGGGTGTATTTTAATCTTGTATAAAAAACATGCATGTGTCAGTCATACGCACGTGCACACGTATACATTCTGTATTTGACGAGTGGTGGTAAGACCAAACAAACAAAGCAAAAACAAAACAAAAAAAAAGAGAAAATGCGTTTGTGGTTTTGAAACGTGAGTACACTTTGTACCACTAACACTGTGATGTATAAGAGCTGTGTGAATGCCTTTTCATGTTGTGATTTGTACTTTAGAGTCCTATGGAAACGTTTGGTTTATAATTTCAATACATATTTTAAATGTACTGTGTCTTACGTAGTCTGTCTCCCCTTTCGAAGGGATTCCTTTTTAAAGATATTTTGGCTGGAATACAGGTGAATTTTTGTAAATCCTGCCTGGCTCCATCTTTTGTAGCTGCTTCGTTGACTGTCCGGAAGACTGGATGATGAGTACGGCGGGAGGCGGGAGAGGAAGAGGGGGACGCAAGAAGGGGAGAGGGGGGTTCCTGCATCTGTATTCTGGGACTGTGTTCATCGCCATGACAACATACCTGAACGAGACCACTTAAGACCTTGTTTTGGCTCATGGTTGGAGAGGATGCCAGTCCAGTCCGTTACAGTGGAGGATGGAGGGCAGAGGCCGTGACACGTGAGCATGGGGCTGAGACTCTTGACATCTCTACCAAGTAGGAGGCACGAGAGGAAGCTGCTGGCATTCTTGATTTTCTGCTCCCACACCCTTCGCATTCATCCTCGGGTCTCAGCTTCGTCAGGGTTTCTCAGTGCTGTAATGAAGTTCCCAACCAAAGAAACAGGGCGGGGAAGGACATCTTTTAGCTCACAGTTTGGGAGCATGGCGGCAGGAGTGTGGGGCGGCTAGCTGGTCTCGTGACATCCACGCACGCGCAGTCAGCAAGTGGGGTTGGCGTGGGAAGAGAGGGAGGGGCGAATGCTGAAATGCTGATGCTCTTCTTTTTTTTTTTTTTTTTTTAACGAGACAGGGTTTCTCTGTGTTGTTTTGGAGGCTGTCGGTCCAGCCCGGCCTCGAACTCACAGAGATCCGCCTGCCTCTGCCTCCCGAGTGCTGGGATTAAAGGCGTGCGCCACCACCGCCCGGCACTGATGCTCTTCTTGCTTTCCCCAAAACTTTGGCTCATGCCCCATCTGTGAGATGGCATTGCCCACGTTCCAGGTGATTCCTCCCTTTTCAGTTAAACCCTGATAGAGATATCCTCCTAGATACATCCCAGAGGTCTGTTTCCGTGGTGATTCAATGAAGACTGATGGTCAACACCAGCCTATGAGATCATGTCTCCCGCATGGATCTTTTCCCCTTAGTCTGTGGGAGCGTCTTCATAGACACACTCAAAGGCGTGCTTCCCTAGTGACGGTGGTATTTCTTGATCCACAAGTTGGCAATGGAGATTAACCATTACAGACTCGGTAGTGGGTGGGAAGTCCAGATGCAAGTGTCTTGGGACCTCCTGAGGGCAGTGCAGAAGGCTCATGCGTATCTCTTTGCTTCCTCTTGGGGGCAGTATCTGGCAGCCCTTGGTCTTCTCCAGCACGCACATATGTCACCATATCCTGCCTCCATCTTCGTCTGGTCCCCCACCCCACCCCTGCCTTGCCTGTGGCTGATATTCATGGCCACACTGAGAATCTCAACTTTACCATCAGAGAGACCCTGTTTGCTGCTAAGATCACACGCTCATGGGTCCCTGGCATCCTTTGGTATGTCTTAAGGGAACGTAATTCTGTCTGTAACTGGCAGCACGACACACAGAACCAGCTACTCGCATCAGGAGTTCATTGATTGAACAAGGCTGGTGGACCAGTGAGCTTCTGGGACCGCTTATCTCTGTCCCCGTAACACTAGGCTAGAGACACATGCCCCTGTGTCTAGCCTTTACTTGGGTTCAGGAGGTCTGAACTCAGGTCCTCACACTTGTACAATGGGCACTTATGTACAGAGCCATAACTCCAGGCCCCAGGTAACAAATTCTTAACTACTGTTTACAGTAGATGAGGAACTCCAGGCTAGGCTGGTGGACTCCCTCCCGTGAGAGACTCTGGGGATTTGGCTTGCAGAGTCCACCCAGCACACAGATCCTCCGTGGTAACTCGTCTGGGATCCACAAAAGGACAAAAGCCCAATTGTGCTCCGCTATTTGAGGAGAACCTTTCAGGGCCGAGAAACCGCCATAGCTCAGAGCACAATGCAGTCCTCTCCAGAACGACTAAGCCATTGTCAGTGCACAATGGATGGTAAATAATCACCGAATGTTTTTATTAACGACAAAGGAGCAATCAGAGCCGTAGTGAAACTTGCAGATGAGACTAAACTGGGAGTTATAACAAGTACCAATTAAGAGACAGAGACAATGAAAAGAGACCCCCACCACCCCGCCCCAGAGAGAAAGTTACAACAAAGCAAGTTTCCGTTTTTTGCAAAATAACCACAAATGCACCTGCACATCCCTGCGGAGGATGTGTTCTGCGGGGAAAGCCCAGAGTGCTTAGAGGGAGACGGTCCCAGACACAGCATTTCTAAGATAGGCACAAATCAACAGTGCGATTGATAATGTCAAACGCCGGGGGTCACCCGTGTTCCTCAAGTGAAGAACCAGTACACTGAAGCCACCTCATAGGGGTGCACTTCGGAGGCTATGCCCGACTTTCTTACTGTTGGGTCCTCCTCTGTTTCCTGTGGGTGCACCGTAGGCTTCCTGGATTACCTTGCATCTCCCCGCCTGTGTGTCTGGGATCTTCCCAAATGCTCTTCTGCTTCCCGTATGACCTGCAGCCCATGGGGGAGGGAGGACGAATGAAGTGGGAAGCAGTGTCTGTCCCCTAGGAGAGGGAGGAACAGGAGGGCAGGGTGGGGGCCACATCTCTGGCTCGCCCTAATATGCTGTCTGGCCGCTGTGCTATTGTCCCCCAAATATACAATAACGTTCAATTTTCTCTTCATAGGAATTCAGCTTGGGGTCTGGCAAAGCCTTGCAGAGCTCCCCCACCCTACCCCAAGTTCTCTTGCCATATACCCTCACAGGTGTAAGAAAGAAAAACTCATGAAATGTATAAAAATAGGGTTCCTGCTTTAGGTTTGGTTATGACAAGGAGGGGTGCCTGGAGTGGCCACACTTAGGGCAGCGGGAGCTTGCATCTAAGAGTCCTTAGGTCTTGGGTACACCAAGAACCAGAACCAGCTGTCACCCATTCTCATAGTGACCCGCTTCCTGTCTGTCTCCTAAAGGTTCTAGGACCTCCCAGAGCAGCACCAGTACCTGGGACCAAGTGTTCGAGCACACCAGTGGGGCTCGTTTTGCATTCAAGCCTCAAGGGATAATGAATGTCCAGCCATTAGGGGGAAGACCGAGGGCATCAGCTTTGGATATGTGAGGACAGAGTCACATCTGCACTTGAGTGGGGACTTGGGTGAAACTTTATGATCCCTAATACTCGTGGAGAACTCAGATTCAGTCTGCTGCCCATCCACCGGGTGAGCCTGAGACCTCCACACTTCCACAGTCACTTGGGTTGGATGGAAGGATGGAACTTGAAGAGAATCCCAACATTTTCCCCAGAGAGACATCTGCCCAGGGCCAAGGAGTAAGCAGGAATCTCTGGGTAGACGCAATGGCTTCAGGGAACAGACCCAGCACAGAGAGTGCCTCTTGGAGTGGTGGCTAGGAAGTGGAGATTGAGGAGTTAAATGGTGGTGGGGGGAGGGGGATGAGAGGACAGGAGAGGCTGAAGCGGGAGTTTGAGGCCAGCCTGGGCTAGGCAGTGAGCTCTGAGCCAGCGGGCGCTGCAGAGTAAAACCTTGTTCCCAAAGAGAAAAGAACTGGAAAGACGGAAGTTAAGAAGGAAGAAAAGAAACTTTGCACAGATTGTGTAACTGGAAGTGCTTACAGCCCATTTCCTGCTTTACATTTTTAAATGATTTGTATTTTTATTATACACACATTGGTGTTTTGCCTGTGTGTATGTCCGTGTGGGTATCTGATCCCCTGGAAGGAAGTAGAATTACACACAGGTTGAGCTGCCAGATGGGTGCTAAGAATACAACCCCGGTTCCATGGAAGAGCAGCCAGTGCCCTTAACCACCGAGCTGTCTCTCTGAACCCTACTTCCTGCTATTGAGTGTGTGGTTTTTAAGTCATTGTTTAGTGCTCTGAACATCCCATGGAAGAAATACTGCTATGCCTATGTTTAAGGTCTTCAGTTGATGTCAAAAACTTGCTGACACAAATTTTTGAAGAATTATCCATCATCTGGAAATTTCAGCCAATCAGAATAACATCATGACCTGACCCCCAAAGTATAGCCCCCTCTTTCCTGATTCATCTTGTGTTTCTCTTCTGTTTTCTACCTCTCTCTTTCCCTGGAGCTTTTGAAAGTCTCAATAAAACACCACTATAGTTGGATGGCATTGGCTCTCTGTTTTCCCAGAAAGATGTCTATAATTAAGTACTCCAGAGACAGCTGTCCCTGGTGGATAAGACCCTCCAAGGCTGTCACCACAGCTGGCCCACGCTGGATGTTTGCTTTGTCATCCATAGATAGACTGAGACAGACTAATATCCCAGTGTCCTCTGTGTTCTTCTCCTCTTCATGCAGAATAAACCCAGAGTGAGGAGGAGGGAAAGGCCAGTGAATTTTTCTGGAGCCCTGAATTGCTGTTTCCCATTTGGCTCCAGTGTTGTCCAGACACACAGAGATACGAAGACTTTCTCACATTCTCTTTTTACCTGGAGGAACCCTTGGCTTTCTCCGAGAGACCTAGCAGAGATGCTCTCTGCTATATATCATTTCCCCTACCTGCTTGTCCACCACACCTGCTCAGCCCTCGCCTGCATCTGCTAATCCCTCCTCTTCCTCCTCCTCCTCCTCCCTTTCCCCTCCTCCTCATCCTCCTGCCACAACAGAACTGTGTTGGCACTTTCATGGAGCTGCAATGACTTCCATGTGTGTCCCTTTTCCTTCCCGCACTTGGTTCCCTTGTGAACAGAAGGGTCCCCTTTGGTTTCCATAGCATCTCAGTGAGTGGGGCACAGATGGTTTCTGGAGAGGTAGATGGAACTTGAGGGATCACCTGGAACACAAACCCGTTTCGATGACATCAGTAACTCTACTCTAGTTGCCTTTGACAACCCCCACCCGTGGTCACAGGTGGAAAGACATTGCCGTCTTTTCAGACCTCAGCATCCAAGCCAATGTGGCGCGTGGTGCCTCCACCACGCTCTCCGAGCTCCTTCTTGGCAATGTTATTCTGCCTGGTTTACGCCTCTAAGTTGGTTCGTGGTTGCCAGTGACAGCACGAAACCCTGATGGGAGCTTAGCTTCCCACCAGGCTTCAGTTGAATGTGTATGAATAGCCCCTA